TGGTATTAAACCAAACTACATTGTTTTAAGATAAGTTAATTATAATCCCTAGGGAAACCCTAAGAAAATAACCCCAAAAGTATGTAGTAAAAGAAATGACAAAGATTCGAGTCATATGAAATGTCCAGAATAGGCACATCCATAAAGAGAGAAAGTAAATTAGTGGTTACCTATGGCTGGGAAGGGTGGGGAGGTTGGAGGGTGATGGCTAAGAGATGTGGAGTTTCTTTTTAGGGTGATGAAAATGTTTTAAAATTGATTTTGGTGATGGTTACACAACTCTTTGAATATATTAAAAATCACTGAACTGTATGCATAAATGGGTTAACTGTATATATGTAAATTAAGTCTCAATAAAGCTGTTTAAAAAAAACAAAGGAATTAAAATGATATACTAGGAAATATCTATTTAACATAAAAGGTGGCAGTAAAGGGGTAACAGAGAAGCAAAACAGACAAGATATCTAGAAAACAAATAGCAAAGTGGCAAATATAAGTCCTGCCTTATTATTAATTATATTAAATGTAAATGGACTAAACACTCCAATCAAAAGCCAGAAAAAAACATGAAAACATGATCCAACTGTACACTTTTTACAAGAGACATAATTTAGATTTAAAGACACAAATAGGTTAAAAGTTAAAGAATAGAAAGATACATCATGCTAACAGTAACCAAAAGAGAGCTGGAGTAGCTACATTAATAGACCAGATAAAAATTGTTAGCAGAGACAAAGGACATTTTATAATGATTCAGCAAGACACAACAGTTAAAAATAAGACTATCAGGGGGCCTGCCCAGTGGCGCAAGCGGTTAAGTGCGCGTGCTCCGCTGCGGCGGCCCAGGGTTCACCAGTTCGGATCCCAGGCGCACACTGACGCAGTGCTTGGCAGGCCATGTTGTGGCAGCGTCCTATATAAAGTGGAAAAAGACGGGCACAGATGTCAGCCCAGGGCCAGTCTTCCTCAGCAAAAAAAAAAAAAGAGGAGGATTGGCAGATGTTAGCACAGGGCTGATCTCCACACACACACACACACACACACAAAATAAGAAGATCAGAAAAATTTTGGAAGGCATCTATATTTCTGATAAAAGAAGAGTTTAGTAGGCTGATGAATAAAACCTAGGAGTTGTCTAGTTGCAGAAATAACAAGATGCTGAATGATAAGATCTATTTGCGATATTTTAAAAATTGCAATAAAATCCATCTCGTAAAATAAATACAAATTTACATATTTTCACACAATTAGAATACAAATTTCAGAATTTAGGAAGAAACAAATGTCTTTTTCCCCCAGTCACAAAAATTCCAGGACACACAATACTTGATATACTCTAAAACGAATCCAACTGAACATGATCTGTTTTAAGCAAGAAAACTACCTTTTAAAAAAATACTGTAAGTGAATAAATGTGTATCTATGTGATTGTTTACTGGCTAACATACCTGTATATCTGTATACATATGTGTATAACATATATATACCACAGCATTTTTCATTTTACTATGAAATTCAGTGTAAGATCCATCTTAAACTTTTTCTAGGTGTTTAATTACTGAGGCACCAAAATAACCTCAAAAGATGGCTTCAGCCAATTAAGACAGATAGAATGGAAATCAGAAATACAAATCCAGAACAATATTCTTGGAGAGGCAGCATAACAAAAGTTGCTGAGAACATGGACTCTAGAGCTCGAGTTACTGGGTTAAATGAGTCATTATCTAAGGATTAAATGAGTCAATATTCATAAAGCACTTCAAACAATGCCTGGCACATAATTAACACTAAGTAATGTTTAATAAAAAATCAATTAAATGAATAAGAAATATTTTCTCATTAATAACAGATATTCAGTCCACTTAGCAGGTATCTGCCTCAACTCTCTTCACTTTAATATATAGACAGCATCTTAGTTGAGAATTTAGATACTAACAAAAGTAAAATTATCACCATGTATCTTTTTTATTGTTTAACGTTGAACTGTTCAGAGCCTCTTCCATCCATGAAGTCAGAGATTTCCCTGAAAATTTTTGACATTTTTACTCACAATCCAATTTTTATTCTGCACAAACAGCTATGGGAGGGCCCCTCCATGTCACTGTCTCTCATAGGCCTTTCCCTCCTCAGAAGAAAGCCTCTCTGCTGGTTGAAAGTCTTATGGGTTCTATCAGTCTCTGCCTCATTTCCTTTCCTTTTGTCTTTCCAGTTTCCCACAGCTAAGTTCACTGACTTACCCACTTGAAAGCTCAGCTCTATCCCAATCCCTGGAACAGCCCCACCTAGTATTTGGCACTCCAGCAATTCCTGCTTGTCCCCAGCACCAACTCACTCACTGATCTGATGACAGTTCCTGCATTTGAGGTTCCAAGTCATATGTGCCCACTTTGCAGATATAGGCTTTGATCTTGGCCTCTACGCCAAGTTTTGGGCCAGTACCTGCCAGGTACACTTGCCTAATCCTAGGATGGAAGCCCTGCCTTCCCCTGGCCTATCCCTACATTGTTGCAGCCTAGCTGACTGCGAAAAGACCTCCCAGATGTTTCCCTTGGTTCCAAGTATCATCATCTGCACCAGATTTCCCACTGCAGGGTGATGCCTGCATTTGGAACAGTATTTCATCTCGGATTCTCTGTTGCCAGCCTGCATTTGGAACAGTATTTCATCTCGGATTCTCTGTTGCCAATCACTTGCAAAGAACACAACCAGATTATTATATCCCTTGGCTACTGCTGAACTTCCACTGTCAGGCCCAACATGTGTTACACTATATGGGTGTCACCTGCTTCCTACTGATGATATCTGCTGTGAATAATCAGCCAAGTACTACTAAATGCTAAGATAAAAAAAACAGGTTTTGCCCCTATTTGTCATCCAGTTGAAACTGTGCTAATTTCAGTTATTACTGTTACCGGTTCAATCGCTAACACTTTTTTTCCTTTGCTTTGCATTTGACAGTCTCTTACAGCTGTACCCATCTTAAATCAACCTATTTCCAGCCTGTTCTCTCAAGGTCTCTCTCTACTCATGCTCCTCTTTTATATTTATTTCCTCAAAAAGCATCCTTTGTTTTCCTTTGTTTTTTGCAATAACCATACCATAGCTATGAATCTTTTTCTCACTCCAGGCTATGTTATCTTATGATATTTTCATTCAGGGACTGACTGCGATACATAAAATTTGTTTACTAACACACAAGATATCAGATACCCAAATGAGTAGTGTTTTCCCCAGAAATAGTTACGTTAGAGGCTATTCACTTATTCTAATGTTATGAATGACCAAAGCATTTCTGGAATTCTTTGAAACCTGTCAGTTCCATATCTCTGACCTTGTCCAAGAAGACCAAACCTATTACTGTACAGCATTTGATCAAAGGGCTATGCCCCGAAAATTATTTCCAAAAATTAGATTTATCTACAAAGGATGAAAAATTGGTATTACCGAGGAATTTTTAAAAATTATTTAGCCTCTGAAAATAATTACAGAAGTTTAAAATAAATGTTGAGAAAAAGCATCATAGCGTGATACTGTGATTTATAAGAAATATGTATGTGGTCATTCAGATAACCAAAATATATTTCTCATACATATGTGGGTCTTCGTCCATAGTTCCCACCTACAGCTCCAGAACTCTTGGAATTTTCTAAGTGTTGAGAGTGATAAAGGTGTTTTGTTTCTGTTAATGAAGGTGACTTTTGGACACTACCGAAGGGTGGGGGCTAGTTGCCAGGAGAACCAGCCATGTGATCAGAGGATTGAAACTTTCAGTCCCATCCCCTGATTTCCAGGAAGGGGAGGGGAGCTTAAGGTGAAGTCAATTGCCAACGGCTTAGTCAAACATGACTACATAATGAAGCCTCCATAAAAACCCAAAAGGATAGCTCCTTGCCCTCTTTTTTAGAGAGCTTCCAGTTGGGGAACCAGAACGCTTCCATGTGCCACTATGCTGGGCTCCAGGCTCCACAAGGACAGAAGCTCCTTTGTTCCAGACCTCATCCTATGTATCTCTTCATCTGGCTGTTGATTTGTATCCTTTAATATCCTTCGTAATAAATCGGGAACCTAGTGAGTAAACAGGTTTTCCTGAGTTCTGTGAACGATTCTAGCAAATTAATTGAACTCAAGGAGGGGGTCATGGGAACCTCTAATCAATTACAGCCAATCAGTCAGAAGTAGAGGTAACAACCTGGACTTGAGACTGGCATCTGAAGTGGAGGGTCATCTTGTGGGACTGAGCCTTCTACCCGTGGAATCTGATTCTGTCTCTGGGTAGATGGTGTCACAAATGAGTTGAATTCTCGGACACCCTGTTGGCATCGGATAACTGCTTGTTGGTGTGGAGAAGCCTCCACGTACATACGCTGGAATTGGGTCCTGGAACCCTTTGCAGTTAGACTAAATGGATGGCAGTCCTTGTTGGACTTAACACAACTATGTAACCTCTAAGATTATTCTCCCATACATAAAATGAAGAAAACTTTCCTATCTTTTTACAGGGTTACTATAGGGATAAAATGAGAAAGTATATGACATCTCTGAAACCCATAAAGTGAATAAATGTAAGATATTCCTATTCATGCCTTACTGCTGCAAATTAAAATGGATTCAAAACACAGTATTAAGCTACATTCATTTTAAAATTGTATTTAGGACCTTGACTTGAGGATTAAGTTGACATTTTTGTTTTGCAGGAGGTGAAAGATGAGCATTAAAGTTCCATTTAAAAAAATTACTTTTATATGCAATAAAGTTCTCTTTTTCTAGAAACAGTTCCATGTTTTGGAAAGTGAAACCTAACTCACTCACTGAAGAAAAGGGGGTGGAGGGAAATTCCATAACTCAGAAGCCACAATAAAATAAAGAATACCTTTGATTCTGCAACGTGGGACTTCCCCGAGGAACAGACACAGCAAGTTTTGCTGAGTCAACTGAAATGTTATCCAATCAAAGTTAAGAGAGGGAAAGTGCCTTTGCAAATAAATACTGCATTCTAGCCCCACGTTTTCTGAGACACTGCTCAACTGCTTAGACATTCTGAGCCTACTGCAGAGTAACCTCCAGTCGCAGCACCATGAACCAAAGTGCTGTTCTTATTTTCTGCCTTATCTTTCTGACTCTGAGTGGAACTCAAGGTAAGGAACATCAAAGATATTTAATTTGTAAGGTCAGAAGTAGGACTGGGTATAAATTCTATGAATACAGAAATCGTGTATTTGCAAAAGTTTCATAGCCTACCTATAAATGAAAGGTAAATGAGCAGAGATTCCCTCTGGCCACAGAGTTTATAGTCAGAGAAGCAAGTGGAGTAAAACAAAGAGGAGGAGAAGGGTGGGAGCAGAAGAGGAAGGGAAAGAGGGAGGACAGACAGAGAAAATGTGAGGGAATGAGGAGAGGATGACACAGATACCTTCTTAGTTAACTCAGCTTAGTTAACCATATGAACTGTGCTCAAGGGTATGATCTTAAAATCAAAAAGTTTCCATTTTTTCAAATAATCAACTAATTCAGAGCTGCATTATAATGGGATCACTCCTTCTCAGATTAAGTGACTATGTGATGACATGGGGATGCAGGTTCTGCTAAGTACTACCCAATCCACATTAAATGCCTAAAATGAAAACTGCATTAACCTCTCTTGCTGTACCTGTCTCTTTTCCCACAGGAATACCTCTGTCTAGAACTACACGCTGTGCCTGCATTAAGATTAGTGATCGACCTGTTCATCGAAGATCCTTAGAAAAAATTGAAATGATTCCTGCAAGTCAATCTTGTCCACGTGTTGAGATCATGTGAGTAAAATCCCATCTGATCACCTCCCTGGTTGTAATCATATATTAAATATGTGATGATGACCACAAATTGGTAAAGAGTTTGTGATGATTCTAAGACTTCTATATAGCAAAGAGAAACATCTAGGGTGAAACTTAAATGTATGACTTAAAAACTGTATATTCCATCTGTTTTATTGGTACAACATTGTTTTAAATATTTCCATTCCTATTTACTTCTACAGTGCCACAATGAAAAAGAATGGGGAGAAAAGATGTCTGAATCCAGAGTCCCAGACCATCCAGAATTTACTGAAAGCAATTAGCAAGCAAAGGTAGGTCTGCTGTTGCTTGCAGAAGAACTGCTCTAAGAAATGTCAATCTTGGGAAGTTAGAAATATTTGCATCAGGCTTGCCTGTGAGATCCTTGGCTTAAAAGTGTGTTACCACCATGCATCCTCTACCTCCATTTATTTCTATACTGAGGTGCCATCTTGTGTGGTATCAAAAGTTACCCTGGCTTACCTGTCTAGAAGTGTCAATAGGTCATTTCAACATTGAGGTAGAGCTATAACTATCCAAGCAAAGCTGCCAAATTTCCCCCCCAGCCTTTCCTTGCCTTAAACGAGCAGCCCCTATAATCCACAATGATTGTGTAGCACCAGGAAAGCTCACCACACACTTCACCTGAGGACTTGGAGTTGCCTGTGAACTCAGTATGTTCCAAGTAGAACCCGGACTGAAGCCAGAGTTGAGAGTATCACACTTTTACACCCCCTTTCTCTTCTTACAGGTCTAAAAGATCTCATCAAACACAGAGAGAAGCATAATCGATGTACAACTGATACGATGGACCAAAGAGAGGCTGCCTCTGCCATCATTTCCCTACATACAGTACATGTCAAGCCCTAATTGTCCCCGGATTGCAGTTCTCCTAAAAGATGACCAACCACAGTCACCTCACTAGCTGCAACTACTCCTGCAGGGAGGTGGATGGTTCATCATCCTGAGCTGTTCAGTAGTAACTATGCCTTGGCACTATACTATAAGCTATGCTCAGGTGCTACATTCTTAGTAAATGTGCCAAGTCCTAGCCCTGCTACTGACACTTTACTCACCTTGCCTATCTTTTAAAGGTTATCAAGGGATCTTTCCACCTCTGGGCTTATCAGAGGTTTTAGAATCTCAAATAACTAAAAGGTATGCAATCAAAGTGATAATACAATCTGTTTCTTTCTTCCCCTCCACAAAGCCCCAGCACACAGTTGTATATTCTAGTTGTACGTCCTTCTAGTTCTATGTAAGCCACCACCACAACATGGCTACTGACAGATGAGTGGTGTGGCTCCACACCCGGCAACCAAACCTGGGCCACTGAAGTGGAGCATGCTGAACTTCAACCACTAGGCCATCAGGGCTGGCTCACGATCTGCTTTTTTAAGAAAGATTTTTACCCCATGGACTTCTACTGCCATCTTCCCAAGGAGCCCATATTCTTCTGGTGGTTATATATACAAAATTCCAAAAACATAGAAACAGCTGGAAATGTATGTGAAAATAGTATTATTTAATGAAAGACTATACAAAATAGAATTCTTAGATGTATATATTTCTTACATTGTTTTCAGTGTTTATGGAATAACTTGTGTGATTAAGTACTACACATGAATGAGCAATGGGAGAAATTTTAAAATCTAGATATATGCTCTGCATGTTATGTAAGACAAAATACGCTGGATGTTTTTCAGAATAAAAATAATGTGCTCTCCTGGAAATATTAAGAAAGATTATTTAACTGCTAAGAGACCAAAAAAGTAATAAAGTAATTATAACTAAGATGAAGTGTCTGACGGGTCATCTGATTGGAACATTTCTTTCATAAGAAGCTTAAATTGGAGAATCCATAGCCTAAAGAAGAAGATGAGATGTGTAGAGGACAAACGAGTTTAAGAATTACCATATTCCTTCCAAACGTAGTCTCCTTAAAGGCCCATCATACAAGATTCCTTCAGGACCAATGTGGCATAACAGAGCTTGGCCTGAGCTTCAGACCCTTACAGCTAACTTTCTATGAGACATCTCCACCTGGATATCCCATAGGTTCATCAAACTCCAAAATAAATTAATTCTTCTCTTCCCCAGATCTATTTCTCCTCCTCTATTCCATGTCCTAACTTAATAGCACCATCAGCCACTCAGTTCTCCAAACCAGAAACTTGGGAGTAATTCTATACTCCTTCATCTCCCTCACCTCCCATATCCAATTAGTCACTAAAAACATATCTGCAATGCATTTAGTTGGCAAATTATTAGTATCTAGGATATATATATATATATAGAAATACTATGACTAAAAAAGGAAAAGACAGGCAACTAGTTGAAAAATGGGAAGCAGAAGTGAATAGGAATTCCACAGAAGAAAAAAGTACAAGCCCTTAACATATGAAAAGATGTTCAACCTCATTAGTAATCAGGGATATGTACATTCAAATCATTATGGGATATCATTTCACAACACCAGACTGGCAAAAAGTTTTAAGTTGGATAATACCAAGTGTCAGGAAGGATGCAGAGCAAGGAGGAACGCCCTTCCACTGCTGGTGAAAGAGAAAACAGCTACGACTACATTAGAAAACAGTTTGGTATTATCTTATAAAATTTAACATGTGCACACTCTATGTCCTAGTAATTCTACTACTATGTATATACCATAGATAAATTCTTGCATAGGACATATATGAGAGAATGTTCCAGCAGCATTGTTTAAAACAGCAGAACTCTAGACAGAATCCAAATGTCCATAAATAGAGTGGGTAAGCAAATTAGGGTATGTTAACTCAAGGGAATATTATACAGCAGTGGAAATAAATGAAACACAACTATACACATCAACATGGATGAATCTCAAAAATAATCTTGCACAAAAGAAACATGTCACAGAGGGCCGGCCCCGTGGCTTAGTGGTTAAGTGCACGCGCTCCGCTGCTGGCGGCCCGGGTTCGGATCCCGGGCGCGCACCGACACACCGCTTCTCCGGCCGTGCTGGGGCCGCGTCCCACATGCAGCAACTAGAGGGATGTGCAGCTATGACAGACAACTATCTACTGGGGCTTTGGGGGGGAAAAATAAATAAATAAAATCTTTAAAAAAAAAAAAAAAAAAGAAACATGTCACAGAAAAGTACATGCAGCATGATTCCGTTTACTATAAAGTTTTAAAACACGCAAACTTAACATTGTATTTGAGAGTAAAAACATATATGATGGAAAAAAAACAAAGGAATGATTTCCATAAAATTCAGGATGGTGATTACTTCAGGAGGGGAGAAGGGAATGCAATCAGGGAGAGGCACACAGGGGCTTCTGGACCATGGTAAAGTTCTATTTTTGAGCTAGGTAGTGGGTACATAAAAATTTATTCTTTAATCTGTACCTACACATTTTAATTTTTTTGAACACATACTTTATTTTACATTAAACAGGCAAAACAAACCAGAAAAGAAACAAAGAACTCCAGAATATTACCAATTATGAGACATCTTCATGAATATCAAGCAACTTCACATAGCAAAACTGAAAAATAAGAAAGCTATCACTGGGGATGTAATGTACAGCATGGTGACTATAATTAATAATACTGTATTGCATATTTGAAAGTTGCTAAGAGAGTAGATCGTCCAAGTTCTCAACACAAGAAAAAAAATTTCTATGTATGGTGACAGATGTTAACTAGCTTATTTTGGTGATCATTTTGCAATATATACAAATACCAAATCATTACATTCTACACCTGAAACAAATATAATGTTATATGCCAATTAGCCCTCAATAGGAGAAACTGGAAAAAAAATAAAAATCTAATGCAATATCAAAAAAAAAAGAGAGAAATAGAGAAACCGCTATCACATTTTGGTATAGGACAAAGGAATACAGTATATGACCATTACTATGGGAGCCTTAACTGGGTCACAGCAAAACTGGAAGTGGCAGAATCTATCCTTCTTGCCCTCTCATTTTCTTTTTCTTCTTGACCTCCTAAATCTATACAAAAGGTCACTTATCTTATTCTCAACTGACTGTCAACTAATTTTCAGGAAGGTGTTAAACCAATAAGGATTTAAAATACTCTCTGTCAAAAGCAGGGCATTCATTTAACATTTATCTATGCCCATTACATACCAGGTTATAAGAAATGACTATATAGTGTGTTTATAATTTACTATTGATGACAGAGATAAAGGTAAATAAATTTAAACTGAAAAAACTCCAAATGTACAAAGAAAATAGAGAAAATCAGGGAAGTCTTTCCTGGGAAAGTAATAGTGATCTGGAATGTGGAAGATGCATATCTATCTGAGAGGTGACAGAGAGAATCCAATAGAAGGGGAAAAGTGAATTCCAGTAGAGGAAACAGCATGCACAAATACAGAGGTGTGAGACAGTGTGGTGTGTTCAATCTGGGAGAATATAAGGATAAAGTTAGAGGTATGAATATTGAGAAATGATGCTGGAGAGACAAAAATTAGCAAAGCATAGAAGCCTGTATGCCATCACCATCATTATATATTTACAATCTACATACATGTTATAAAACATACACAAAAAAATAATGTTTAAGATTGCTAGACTATGCTGTAGTAACAGAGCTCCAAAAACATTAAAGAACTAACACAATGAAAGTTTATTTCTTGCTCACACACAGTTCCAAGGAGGATGGCAGGGCCTCTATGCTAACTCAGGAATACAGTCTGCCTCTATCTCAATTGAGGGTTGCCATGACAGGAAAGAGAAAGATGGAAATGGCATACTGGCTCTCAAACGCTGCAGTTCACATTAGCTTGTCCAGAACAAGGTACTGCCTTACCTAATTGCAATAAGGGATAGAAACTGTAAGGGAAAGTGTATTTGTCTCTGCCACAAATACAAAAATTTTTAAATAAGATTTTAAAAAATTATAAGCCAGAAAACAAGGCTCATGCAGATATCTAGCTCAGAAAGAGAAGTCTAGACAGATATTTATAAAAATAAAAGTCTATCTTCTTGGGGAAGTTAGACCAGAGGTGAAGAAGAATTGTCTCTCTGGATAGAAAATCTACTATGTTTGATATAAATAAAATTTGATGTACACTGAACAAATGTACACATATACTGTAGTATGCTCATGTTATAAATCTCGAGGGAGAATCTCTTTTTCTGGGGAAATCTATGGGCCACAATGATCAAAATGTTGCAACTTGATTTAAGAACACTGGCCTCCTACAAAGAAGAGGGAAAGGGGAAAATGTCTGTAATTTCGTCTCTCAATTTTCTTTGCCAGACCATACTCAGTTAATTCACTGTTCCATATCTACATCTTGATAACTGACTAACACTGTTCTCCCTCCATTCAGGGGCTGGCTGAGAACCTCAATAGAACAGTAACAATATGACATAACTACTCTGGTAATTCTGAACAAGTCATTAAGGCCTGCCTGGGCCTCTGTTTTCTCATCTATAAAAGAGAAAGAGAAATAGCGATCTTTCAGAAATGTTGCTAAGATAACTGTCAAGAGTTAATTAAAATACTATTTCTAGGAGACAGGATTGTAGATGATTTTATTTCTTTTTGCTTTTATTTTCCAAATTTCTACAAAGAACATTTTTACTGTTTTTAATCAGAAGGAAAAATTTTTAAGCAAATGGAAACCAATTTTCCATTTGAAACCAATTTTCAAAGACACTAAATTATAAGTGTTAATCTTAAAGGACTAGGATTTATGTTCTGAGTGACCTTCGTGAAATGACTCGTCTCTGAGAAAGATGTGAACTGAAAATAGAGTCATATACATACCAGAACTTCTTTCTCCATGCTAGGCTACAACGTAATGGCTTGTGTTAAAAATCTAATATTAAACTATTACTGGATATATTTCAGGTCATCAGATAATAGTGTGTTTGTCATTATTAGTCTCCCTGCTTACCCTCATGCCTGCTACCACTTACTCTCTACACAACAGCCAGCATAATACTTTTAAAACATAAATGAAATATGGCTCTCCCCTGGTCTCATCCTTCCAATAGCATCCCATCACACTTTAAATGAAATCCAAAATCCTTCATCATAGTCTATAAGGCTCTACATAACTCTCCCACCTCATTCCTACCACTCTCACTCTCCACATTTCTACTGCAGCCATACTGGCCTCCTTCTGCTCCTCAAGCACAGCAAACATATTCCCATCATTACCATAGCTCACTCCT